TTCCAGTCATCATGGCTCAATAAACCGGGATGGTCTGAATGACTGGAACAACCGAAAGATGGCACGGGCATGAAGTGCAGAATATGTCGCAAATCTGGAAAGCGAAACCCATTCACTGACGCCGACGGTTGTAAAAACTACCGCACATCAACTGTTGCACGACACGCCAGCAGCGCTTTACATTTGGAAGCTGTAAAAGCTACGATAATGCGAGCGGACATGGAAGCAGCCGTCTCTACCGCCCTTACCAAAAAGCAAGACGCCGTTATCACAGCAATGAAAACCGTGTATTGGTTAGCGAAAGAGGCTATTGCTACCGATAAATATTCTTCATTGTTAGAGTTATTGCGCGAGTCTGGTTGCGAACATGTTGGCAACTTGCAGGTTGGCGGTAATGCTACATATCAGTCGTCCACGACAGCCGAAGACTTACAGCAAACAATTAGCGACGTTATAACAACTAAAGTCTCGAAACGTATTCAGAGCTGTGTTATGTTCAGCATCCTTACAGACGAAAGCACTGATATATCAGTGACTGGGAGGCTGGTTTTGTATATACGTATGGTAAATGAAGAATTCGATGTAGAATCTCATTTCCTCGGTAATTATCACCTCCTTGAAAAAGATGCGGCATCAATTACCGACAAACTGGTCGTCGCAGTGCAGCAAAGAGAACTGGATGCTAGAAAAATGATGGGCTGGGAAGTGACGGAGCATCGGTAATGGTAGGAAAAAATAATGGAGTTAGTGCCAAGCTAAAATGCAATGCGTGACTTGTCATTCGTACCAGCTGACGAACTCTCCCACCACGGCAATGATAGAATCGAAGTACTGATTTGTCATTATGGCGAGACGAAGTACGACAGTCAAGGCAAGCCCTGCGACCCGATCATTGTCCCTGATGAGACCCGACACGAATGGTCCGTTGTGAAAAAGCTCGTCCTACAACAAGCTTATCCACGTAATAACCTATCATTGTTGTGGAAACTCATAAACAACAACCACCGTCAAACAGTGCCAAATTTGATCACCTTAGCGAAGATTGCCGTTACGCTGCCAGTTAACACGGCTATTTGCGAGAGGGGCTTCTCAGCCCAGAATAAAATCAAAACGTGTCTACGCAATAGAATTGAGGAGCGCGCATTGAATCGCCTGATGACCATTCTGATTGAAGGCCCCCCACTCAAGGATTTTGATTATGAAGAATCGCTTCGCCAGTGGAGAATCCAAAAATCGCGGCGCATATTCCTGAAAGAATAAATTTGTTTTGACCGGTTGCGTTGCCAATTCAACGTGCCCAAATTTCTAGTCGGCACGATCAAAAGATAAAATGTTGCAAACTTTTGCGTGTTTACGTTCACCTGTCAATCATTCCAACTATGTTACAGCTCTGTTTTTGTTTGAACCGTTCAGCTTGTTTCGTTCAGTTTGGCTGACTGTTTTTCTCCGCTTCAGAGCATTGATCAAATAAATCAGCACAGCAGTGGTACACAATTGATTGAGTTTCAGTATTTTCACCATGATGAGAAAATTTGCAAATAGAATAAATTAGCATATTTCTACCTAGATATTGCAGGCAAATAAAAAATCAGTGGTTCAAAAATCTCATAATATTGTGTCATCACAATTTATATTGTGTTTGCCATACTAATTTATTGAAATTATTTTTATTTGATACAATGAATATAAAATTTTTGACTAATGGTTTATTATTATCCAATTTTTTGTCAGTTAAATAATTTTATAACTTAAGTTGGTCCATGAAAATTGTTCTTAATATGACAGCAGTATAATTATTATTTGAATAGAAACATTAATATACTTACCCATGATATTCATAATTCCAACATATCCTTTTATGTTTATTGTATATTGTGTACCAAATATATTTACATTAAGTCACTCTGACTGATAAGGGTGAAAATATTTTATTGACCATGCACAAATTCAATTACTGTTTAGCCATGATGCAGCACAGGAACTGTAGTTATTAGTAACTAATAACTAATAATAATCTTCAGTGCATTTCAGATAGGTTTACTGTATTTGCATATTACAACGTCATTTGGTACAATATAGTATTGTCTTGAATCCACTCTCAGTTTTAGATAGACATGTACAATTATGTTAATAATACTTTACCGTTATACTCCCAACTTTAATAAAAAAATACAATACCCGTAACCTGTGTTAATAGCAAAATCTGTTTTGTCATCAATTTCCATTCCCCCCTTGACAAAGTGAAGTCCCCCTCAATTTTTACACCAAAGGGGGACAATCCCCCCTCATGGCTTCATCCTAGATGAAACACTGCATACTACAATGAAAGGGTCAGGTGCACGTGCAATTCACTATAGACTCAATTCAGTGTTTGCAGGGATCAGTGAAAAGGTAGTCCAAGTGGAGTTGAACAAAAGTAAAACACATGGTAGAGAAAAGCCCATATTTGATGGGAAGGCACCCTTAGTACCTGTGACAGCACAGTCTGTAATGGATATTCATCAGATAGATCTCATAGATATGTCCAAACATCCATGTGAACGGAATGGCATTACATACCGCTACATTCTAACTTTGGAGGACATATTTTCAAGGTTTATATTTTTGCGTGCTTTGTCCAACAAAGAACCAACTACAGTTGCTGAAGTTCTACTTCCCATTTACAATTCCTATGGTCCCCCCAGAATACTTCAATGTGATCAGGGCAATGAGTTTAAAGGCGATCTCCCTATACTGTGTAGCAGTTTCAATATACGGATGATCAGAAGTCGAAGTAGACATCCTCAATCTCAGGGGAAGGTATGTATTATATGGGTGTGCATGCATGTGTGTGTGTATGTATGTATGTGATGATTGGTGGTGGGGGTTTATCGGTGTCAATCCAGGCTGTTTCTGTGTAATTTTCAGTTAAACATTGAATTGTTGGTTGTTGTCGGGTAGTGCATTTTTGAATTTCATGTAAATAAACAATTCAACTAGCATTTTTCTTCTTTAAATTTATAAATTGCTTGTTGAACAGTGGTTGGTACAATCCAGTATAAAATTATTGATTGCAAATTTCTAAGCATTCTTTGATGTATACTACTTTTAGGTTGAGCGTTCCCATCGAACCATTAAATCTCGACTAAGATTTGATGAATTTAGTAAGCTATCTGAAACAAAAGGTATAGAATGGGTGGACAGTGTTCCAGCATGTGAACAGCTGTACAACAATACATATCACCAAGCTATAAGTAAGTGATTGGTATTTGAACTTGTGTTATTTGTTCCCACTCATACCATGGTGCACGTATAGGAACACATGTTTATTAATTCTCATACATGATTTTGTACAAAGACCTGATGGTTTACAATACATAATGATATGAACATGAGTAATTTATAATTTGTTTAGATTTAAATGATAACTGGCCATCTCCCCTTCCAAAGCTGAAGTTGAACATGTTTGTTTGTCGACTTTGTCAAGCGGAGCTAATCAAATTACTGATTGTTCACGTCAACTTTTTACTTTTTCGACTTCTTCTTGAAAACCGCAAGTCTGATTGTTTTGGTACTTGGTGTATATTAACCTTGGGTAGACCTCTTTTAGATTTGTTCATTTCGTGATGATATCTTCAATTCTCTTGATTGTCTATCAATTGATGGGGTCTTCAATTGGTTCATGTTCATATGCTTGAACCTGTGTAACGCTGTTCACAGCTTTAAATTTTGATTGTTATTATAAATATCCCCTACATCAAATTCATGCCTTCAATTCACTCTGCATACAGGTCATCTTTTTTATACTGTGGTACAGATTTCTTGTGAAATGTGCATAACTAACAGCGGAGCTATCTCAGCCAAGAGGCTGCTTGTTATTTATATAATGCATATTAAACTGAATCGCCCTTGAATGTGTTCTGCCTGTGTTCTAAATGGTACATGTTGTGTTGAGTATATAAAAACATCCTGTAACATGTCTTTCTGTCACTTTTTCAGAGATGTCACCATTTGAAGCATTTTTTGCTAGACAAAATAATAAATTTTCAAGGCAACCTGATATTCCAAATGAGAAGGTAGGTTGTGTGCAATGGAGTGTTATGCTAATTTATCAGATTTTGATACAGTTAATTGTAATTTCAAGTGAAATTGAAGCTCTAATATTATTACTGTAATATCTCCCTTGAATATCTTTCCTTGACTTAAATGTTTGATTTAATTTTGTCCAAATTTGAATTCTGTTTCAATTGCAAGCAAATTTTCCCGAAATTGATATTTGCAAATTCTTGTGATAACATAATTCAGAAGGGTTTCAAATTTAATTTGCAGGTTCTTAGGGGGATCTCTCTCCTCTCTCAGATTTGTTCATGTATCGTTGTGTGTGGGTGTGGTCATATTTGCAGGGCTTGAACTTCACGGAGGCCATTGCCTAGATGCCCCACCTGATTGCCTTGGTGCCCTTTGAAATTTGAAAATTTTCGCCATACAATTTCAATGAGACCAAAGTACTGCTATAATGTTTGGCCTTGAAAATGGGTGCCCTCACACTTATAAAGTTCAAGCCCTGTGCCGGTATTTGTTTGTAAACAGCTGGTGTGTGTGTGTGTGTGTGTGTGGGGGGGGGGTTACTTGTTTTACTTGTACTGATTGATTGAAAACCCAATTGGAATTCATAGGGAAGAGTGGAGTTTTCCAGGCCCGGATCCTATGGGGAGAATTCACCTTCAAAAATGTTGTCAGAATGGATATCAGTGGCAGATGTGGTACGTGGTAAAGCTCTTCAATCAAACAAAAATGAATCTGACAAAATGGTTCAGAGAGAAATGTCAAAGCATGCTATATCAATGTATGACATCAATGATAATGTGTTGGTGAAAGTTAAGCCAAAAACTAAATTGTCAGAAAAGTACAAGACACATGTAGTGAAGGGAAAAGTAGTTGATTTTAATGATGACACATCCATGTACAAAATTGAGTTACAAACAGGAAACACCAAGTAGTTTTCAGTCTCAGAACTGACCAGTAAGTTCATTTTAATTTAATGTATTTAATATACTTGATCAATGAAGACACTGGAACATACTGTAACAAAACAGGGAGGATCTGGGTGATATCTACAAGAAATAAATCACACCAAACTGCTTGTTATTATTGCTTTGTGCAATACTGGGTTTTAAGCAGCACCACAGTTTCTACTCGGGTGTATACAATTTTTGGCATGTTGCCTGACATTTTGAGTGGCCGAGTGAATGCTCATGAATTTCGGATATCTGCGAAGGTTTCACCCAGGTCCAGGCTCCTTAAAAAGTAAAGACTTTGCTTTGACTATATGGCATACAACTGTCTATTATGGGCAACTTATACTAGTATACTACCAGAACTCAAGACCAAAGCCAATTAAATCACCTAAGAACAGCCAATAGTAATATCAGTATGTTATTCCAAAGATAAAGTCTGCTAAGATCCAAGGTTAACGCTCTTTTAGCCAATATATATTTTGTGTTATCCTACCGACACCATAAAAAAACATTTTTGAGGCATTTTTGTCTGATACCTTAAAATACCATAGCCATTTTTGCACATTGTCCCTTTTGGTTTTACATTTCCTGAACATTAGAATATGGAATATTCTTACAATTTCTTGTATGCATAATATCTAATATGATGTCTTTTATGTATTATACTACTTTTATGAAATACACAAAAGGTATTTTTCTAGTCATCACTAAAAAATCACACATGGC